TACATATTGGACAATGATCTGCATTAGGAGCCTCTCTTAGTAATTTTCTTGCTGTATCTGCAATCAAGAATATTGTGTTGTGCCGCCAAGCTTTGTTGAAAACCTAAATCAGTTATTTGTGCAATGCTTTTTATTCTTAAATTATTTTGAAATGGGTTTTAGGAATCAAAAGCTTACATACACATTCAGAGTGTACACTCATTTGCCAGTTTTTTACATACACCTAGCTAAAACTAAATGCAGTGTAATACAAGAATCCTGCAATTAATCCTACCGCTCATGAAGGTTAATATCTTCATTTTTGTTCAACTGCTTTAGAGAGCTGGTGATTCACCTTAAGTGTAACTAACCCCAAACCACTTTTTTTCTGCTGAACCTGTGGTAGTGGGTATTATCGATTCAAGTTATTATTATTGCAATTGAATGGCGTCACCGAACCAATGTCTTGCTTTTTATTTCACCGCCAGTGGCTTATGAGCAGCCACACCTGCCAGTGTGAGACAGCTCGTTCTCAAGTAAACATAACGATTCTTTATTTTTAGTGATTATACACTGATAAAAAAACATTTTATATTAAGTTTTTGCCATAGATCCTCCTAAATGTCAACAGACTTGGAACTTTAAGTTGAGGACTAACTATACAGTGACAAACTTAACACGATATTGGGTTATATTGTTTTTGGGTTGCTGGTGCGTAAACTTTCCCAATCCCAAAAATAGTAGGATAGAGTCATAATGTTGACTAAAGCTTGACAGTCCTGCTGTACTAGTTACAGTTGCTAAGCTATGATTGGACAATAGCCATGTAGGTGAGAATTTTGACCATTTTAATGAAGCGTTTTCTTGGTAATGCCTTTTTTGTGTCCTCATGTAATTCTCTCCCTCTCCTCTCTCCAGGTGGCAAAGGTAGAGTACGTGCGGAGGCGGACGAAGCTGGGGAGGTACAGGTGAGGCTTGGAGGATCACCTGGAGTGCATGTGCACCAACAAACGCCACCAGTCAGCCCAAACTCAGACACAGACAATGGTAGTATACAGCTGTGTGTGTGTGTGTGTGTGTGTGGTGTGTGTGTGTGTGTGTGTGTGTACTTATGTATTGGCTCATTTCTCATGTGAAGGCTGCTCCTGTCTGAATGTGTCTACTGACACCAACAGAGCTGATAAGAGATCTGAGGTATTTACTGTGTTTTTCCTCTCTGCTTGAATTAGTCCTCCCTCAGGGCAACCCCCCCTCACATACATACTCTCACACACACACACCCTCACAAACCCTACTCCTTATTATCCAAATCTCCTTCCTGAACCAGAGCCAACTGTAGCAAAACTGATAAAAAATGCTTTTTTCCAGTTCCAACGTGTATTAAAACCAAGCTGAACGGAGATGGATTCATAAATTATATATTGTGTGTGTGGGGAGGGGGCATGATCAGTACCAGAAAATCACAAGTTTGACCCCCAGGTCAGCAATTTGTCCATCAACCTGCAGCTTTGCATTTGTGACATTAAATACAAACCTGTCTACTCACTGGGAGTCACTGTAAACTAAATGCACAAAACTGTAAAATCCATTAATAGTAATGATAACACTTTTTTACATTAAAATCTACTGTAAAATACTTGATTAATGTCAGTGGGCCAGTTTATATTACACTGGAGGGTTTGCAGTTAAACCAGCCTGTAATCAAAAGGTCACAGGGTCAATCCTTGCAGCAGTCATGTGACTTCCTGCTGACACACCTTCCTGCTGACCTCTTGCAAGTCACATTGTCATCATCTGAATGTAAAATTATGAATTTTGGCCCTTTCAAACATGCACCTCGTTAGGTACATACGAGTATGAAAACAGACATTTTTATGTGCATCTCAAGTCTGAATAACTTTTACATAAAAATAAATATAGCAGTGTAACTGTGTTGGGCCTATTAACATTAGCTTATCACTTTCAACACGACACAAGCCTGAATTAAATTCCCTCAGGCTACAGCAGCACATGGTAATACAGAGAGAGATTAAATCCATGTGTGTTGTTCTGCCTTTAAAGAACACTGTAATAAATAGATCACTTTACTATTATCTCATATGCACAAAGAAAAGAAAATCAGTAATCAAATACAAAACGCTGACTGAGCCGGTGTCGATGTACAATAATTATCACCCCAACACTATGTTTTTGATTTTCATCCATAGCAATTGCATGAAATTGTGAATGGTATGCAATACATACAGCACATGAGCAAATATAAACAGACCAACTTGCTGAAAGAAGAAAGAAAGGACAATAAGACATTAATATCTGTTTTATATCAGCCTTAATTTCCCCCTGGTTTCATAACTATGAAATAACAGTTACAGTTCAGTGAATATGTGCTGAATATGTTTTTTTTCTGGGGAAGGGTTAGAAGAATATATGTTAAAGGGTGAGTTTCCTCATCTTTACTCTTCTCCCAAAAGGCATCAGGTGAAGAGAGATGGACAGATGGAGGAGAGGAAGAGGAGGACAAGGATGAGCACCTTCAGCCTCTGACTTCTCCACCTCCACCATCTCCTGCCATCAAGTGACTGAAAGGTTTGACGGAGTTTATGTTGACCAGTGACCTTTGGAACATTTAATGGATGATAACTGACTCATATGGACCTCAGCTGTACTCTGAAAGATACGTACAAAAACTGCGACCAACAAACTGCCAGACACGAAACGAACCAACGGTCTGATGGTGTCCTCGCCGTGATTCCTCGATGGAGAAAAGAAGCGATTAGGTGATGAAAGTGCAGAACACTGGCAGAGGGATCGAAGGACTTATCCTCTGCATCTTGTTCCCTCTCCAGACCTTAAACCGTTCAGCATCTCGGATTATGAACTGGGTGGAATCCTTTCTAGAAACAGAGACTGGGATTAGGTTTTTGTACTCCAAGATTTACTCTTCCTCAGCAGAACACACACATGCACATATATCCTCTTATTTTTATAACCTCTCATTTTCTATCACTGTTTCTACTTCTGGTATGTTATCCACATTAAGAATGGAGAGGAAAAAATCCTCCTGACATGTTACTGATACTAATAAACTATTTATATGAAAAGAAAGTGAGCGTGGTGATTAGAAAACAACTTTTAGAGAAACGGGTTTTTTACAGAATGCTTGTCAGAGTGACTGAAGGACTTAAGAATTTATCTAAACCTGAAAGCGGAACCGAACATGCTTCCGTGTGTGAGAGAGAGATTATCTGGAGGATCATAATACTAAAGCTAAAACCCCCGTGAATTTGTAACTGAGAGTAGCACACATATAAAACGCTGCTAATGGAGAGAATGCAGATAGACACGACACGTATGCCGTAGAATAACTAACACTATTTTTTTCAGTGTTGGTATAGAGCAACTTTTATTATATCAAGCTCAAGTTGAGAAAATTAACTCTGTAAAGAGGAAGGTAAATGTTTTCAGCAATGACCTCATCCTGTGACTCGCAAACTCTAGACGACATGGAGGAGGAGGTGACCTCATAACAAAACACCACACATTCGTCAGCTGCTTGGCCATTATCATGAGTGTTTATGCGTGTGATTAGGAACTCCTTATATCCTTCACTTTTCACAAAAAAACACACATGCACTTGTATGCACATCCATTTACCCCCTTCACCCTGGGCAAAAATCACATGTAATGGTGCACAATAGATTGGTATAAGTATTGCTTAAATAGTTCCTGTAATTTGTCACAACTGTGACTAATTCCTAGAAATTATGAAAAAACACACAAAGGTTTGTTGTAACTTCACGTGATAGATTAAATAACAAATCTGACACAGAAAGAAACTATTCAAAACACTTTTTAGCAGTCAGTTCACCATTTTGGTCCAGGATTAAATATTTGAACAAATATTGCCATAAATTCTGTACAGAAAAGAAATCTGACATCGGTGATCCCTTGACGTTTCGCTAGCACCACCCTGAGGTTGACATCTCTTCTGATTCTTCATCTAGCGCCATCATCTGGTCAACATTTAAAAGGTCCAATACTGTGATTTATGACCAAATACCTACAAAACAAATGACATTCCCATCAGTTAGCTGTTCCTTGTGTTTAGTTCTAATAGAAAAGGTTTGCCATGCTAACATGCTAAACTAAGATTGGTGAAATTGAATAACATCATATCTGCTGAACATCATCATGTGAGCATGTTAAAAACAATACATCTGCAAAACAAATCAGAAATGTTCCATCAGTGCAGAGCTTAAGATTTTGCAAGAGCGTTTTGCTATCCCGTGACCATCAACCTTATTCTGACGTCTCAAGATATTGCAAATGGAACTGGTGTCATCACCATTCAGATGCAAGTAAATACTCCAACATAAACTGTGGCTACATGTTTACACAGGAACCATTAGCGCTTTGTTTCATTTTGCAATGCGAAAATATGTAACAACTACTGGTTTGGGAAAAAGCAGCCAATTAGTAAACTGCAAAATAAAGAGAAGACTGTAGGGTTTGTTTTTTTGGTGGTGAAGACATGATGTTTTTTCTTCCGTCGTCCAAGCCTGCAGCCACGGAGCCGAACCTTGTACCCATGAGGGCTGTTCCAAACTCCTGCTGGCATCCCACAAACCTGCTGTTAAGACCAGTATGCTGCGGTTCCACACAGCCGCCTCAAATAGCTCTTTATGTTTCAGACGTTAAATACTTAATAAGACATGTTTCAACAGCTGACTGCATTTACAACAAACAGAGGACAAAACAAATGTTTGTTGGTTGTCGGGTAAGAAGCAGACGAGGCAGACAGTCGGGTGACCTCATGCGGGCTTGAGGTTGCTTTGCGCAACTCACTTTGCTGGCATATTGCTCTTGGAGGAGCTGGTGTAAACCATGTGTAGACATTGGCCAACACTGTAACCAAAGTGGGTAGTTAGTGTAAATACATAAAATTCATAATTGAGTGGTTTTATTTGAGCTGCACAAAGACGACACTGTGCATAAAGACTTAAAAAAAAAGAAAAACCTTGGTTTTTGGTTCCAATCTGTCAAATATGCTGCAGTTTCATCAGCTAAACATTCAACACGTAAACATATAAAAGAGAAAATATTGTGGATATAAAGCACTGAAAACCAGTTGTTTTTGTTGGAGGAAACAAAGAGAAAGAAGAGACAGATGGGGATAAGACTGTGTAATAGGGTCTGAAAGGTGAGAGGGAGGAAATGAAAACAGACAGGATGGAGCACAGTGAGATTGTGTGTGTGTGTGTGAGAGAGAGAGAGAGAGTGAATGAGTGACAGTGAAAGTGTGTGTGAGAAAGGATGAAAGTGGGTTTGTGTGTGTGAAACAGAGAGAGAAACTCCATCTCTCTAAAGCTCAGTTAAGCAGATTAACAACATGCTAGCTAAAATGCTGAACGCTCCACAGGTCAAATACAACCTGATATAAGCTGACGGAAGTTGGACTTGCCCCCTTCAGCTACAGATCTCAGATCAGATTACCAAACCTCAGTATTTCCACACTTTGCCATAATGAAGCTGAAAGTATATCTGATTCTGGGTCAGCGGGTTTTTCTGGATAAACACCTCCAGGTTCCTGCTGGATATTAGTAGACTCTGAGCTTGCATCCAGTAGGTTGATATTTATGCTATTATTAATAAAATGTATCAACAACTGTTATCATTAAATTAGCTAAACATGTCCTCCTCAGAATGAATTCCTCTTGTACCATCATCAGGTCTAAATTTCAATCTGTCCAGTACTTTGTTTTATACCAAATAGTACCTGATTTCCATCCGCCTTAGCATTACTTTGTGTTTTGTCTTAATTAGCGCATGTTAGCACGCATGGTGAACGTGAGCAACAGCCACAGGTAAACATACCTGTCTAACAGCTGCATGTTAATAATTGTCATTGTGAGCCTGTTAGCATGCTGAGCATATAGATCAAAGCATAAGTAAAGCCTTACAGATCTGCCAGCATGACTGTAGACTGTTAGTTTTGTTGGAAGTTACTTAATACCAATAACAGTCAACAATATATTAAGTGACTATTGTGAGGTGACCATATTTTCAAACCCCAAAACCTGTACCCTTAAATGTACCACACATAGATGTTTTCATCAGGATGGGGGCAACTTTA